AAGTAGAAAATTGCTAAATTTGAAGCGTTTCAGCGTTTTCATTTAAAAATAAAAAAAAAATTTTTTCGAAATTAAGGAGAAAATTGCTGAATTAACTCTGAAATGTATTATTTTGTATAAATTTATAATCCACATAATCTTATCACTAATTAATAAATTTTGACATGTTTACACATTGCTGCTAATTCTAACGAGAATTAAATTAGTCTAATTAAATCAATTTTCTAATCAAAAATAATTTGGGGGACTTACCAGTTGAGCACTGATCCACACAATTACAATTTTACGCAATTTAAAAGCATGAAACCCATTAAAAATGTGCTAATTTTACGCGGAAAACTTTTCGCGATATACAGGGTGAGTCTCTAAAATCGAAAATTTGTTTTTGGAGTCGTAAAAATCCACCACAATACAAGGTGAATCAAATTTTAAATTAAAAGCGAAAAAAAACAGTTAATTTTGCAATTGTAAACAATTTTAATTTAATTTTTTAGAAAAAAATAAATAATTATCACACCAAATGAAAAAATGAAAGATTAGATATGAATAAATCTGGATTAATGTGATTTTTTTAATTTTTACTCACTTTCAGTTGACTGAAAAAAATGTTCTGGTTTTTTCCTCGAAGAAAATTCTACTGAAAATTAATTAAAATAAATGAGGATTAGTTTTGTTTAATTGTCTACTTGTTCTTATCTGTTTGTTTTTGTCATGAATAATATTTACACTTGCGAAATCAAAACAACCAAATTTTTTAATGGCATACACAAAAACATTGTTTTGGTTTGAAACTCAGCTAAATGTACTTTTGGCTCATCCTGTATATTTTTTGTCTAATTAATTAATTAGAAATATATTTTTTCATAGAAAAACTCACTAACTCTAGAATATTTTTTTCGAAATGAAGTAGAAAAATGCTAAATTAGATGTACAAGAAAGCCTTTTTTTCTCTGTTTTTATAAATTTTAACGAGAAAACTGTGGAATTTGTTACAGAATTTCGTAAAAACACGGTGAATTGTGTTATTTCCGTTTGTTTATATGAATTTAAAATATTTCTAATAGAAAATTTCGCCAAAATAAAGTGAAAAACGTTAAATTAGTTCTAAATGTTGTATTTTCTATGGATTTAGTAGCGTTTTTCAGCAAGAAACTCTCTGTTTTGAACAGTTTTGTTAAAACAAAGCTGAAAAATCACCTAATTAGAAGTGGAAAGGCCTTTTTTCAGCAAAAAATTCAGTGATTTGGCCAAAATAACAGAAAAGTCGCTTCATTTATTGGTTTTTGAGCGTTTTTTTCAAATAAAAACTCACTAAATCTAAAATATATTTTTGAAATAAAATAGAAAATTGGTAAATTACATCTGCTAAATTGTACTTTTGGCTCATCCTGTATATTTTTTGTCTAATTAATTAACTAGAGAAAATAATTAGAAATACAGGGTGATTCAAAAATCAAATTTTGGGCATTGTTACGGCAACTGTTATTTGACAAATAATGTCCAAAATATTTTTTGAATTTTTAAAATTAATGTTTAAATAAGTAGGAATCACCCTGTATACTATTTTTTATTTATTTCTTACTAATGGATTAATTGAAATTAATTTTAAAAAGTTACATCTTTTTCTGTTTTTTTTATTCACCCTGTATATACTTTAACTTGTAATTGGTGTAATTTAGTTGCTCCAAATCGGGTTAATGTGTCAGATGTAAATATTTAAGCATTTGTTTATTACAGCAAGAGATTTTTTCAGTTTCAGTATAAAAATAGGTCACTGAAAAGTCGGTTAACTGAAAACTTCCTTTTTACCCAAGTTAAGTGCTCTAATGAGTGCTAATTCTTGTCTTGTGAAACCCGTTGAATGATGGTAATGAAAAAAAATAAAAAAATGAAACAAACCACGATCGCATCAAGGCCACCGGCCTTCTTATTCTTCATTCTGAGAGTCCCACAGGTAGGTAAAATATTGTTGCACGTGTGTAATGTTAATTTTTCACTGACCTGTCGATTATGGTAAAAGCCTTGGCTTTTCTTCCCATGAATAATAATGGAATTGTGTTAGTAAGGAGACATTTTCGCGGCACTGTTGCGTTTGCAGTTTTACCATCGACTGGAAGACATAGAGCCCAAGTGGTTATATTTATAGCTTATTTCGACACCGTGTAAATGAACTTTGCAGGGAATTCGACGCTTTTGGGGGGAAATTTCACCAATAAATCACCAAATTCAGTCAATATTTGGCGTTAATTGTGGGTTTTTACCATCTATTTATTTTTTATTGTTTCAAAGAATGTGTTATTATAATATAAGACTTAATATTAATTAATTTTAATTGTCATTAAATGTGCTACAAGTGAATGGAATCGTATTTAAAGAGAACTAAAATCGTAAAAATTTTGAAGTTATGTATTCAAATTTTTAATATTTCAAATAATAAAATACGGCAACTAACCATACGCGGTGTAAGGTTGGTTGCCTGTGCTGTGCCATTTGTCTCATTCCTTGTTTAAAATTTATGACACTTGAGTAGAGGATCTCAGGCTCTTTAGGAGAAGAAACTCAAGATTGTTAAATAATAACAATAAATAAAAGTTTGTTTGGATGATTTTTTGTATTATTTACCTTCAAACGAGTTGAGAAATCTCAAAATAAAATAATTGATTTTTTAGCTGATTCGTAGTTTCCTGTAAACAGTGCTATCTATCCGTTAAATTTCTAAACACAATTTTTTACAGTTATCTGTAATAAAGAAAATTTTATTTTTGTTATTCTTGAAGAATTAACTAATTTCTTAAGAAAAACTAGCACTATATGTAAACGACGATTACGGCCATCGTGAGGCCAAATCCAAGTCGATATCTCGCAAAAAAAATTGAATTTTTAAACGCCGATTACGGCGAAACTAAAGGAGATAGC